GCCACGTGATTCGTAAGGCATCCCGCTGAAATCTGGTTCGTTTAGAGGAATGTTATCGCCATTTTGGGATCGTCCCAGAGCATTCGTGTGTCATGGTCGTTCATCAAATCTCATTTGATTCATATGATCATCCATCTTATACCGATGGGGTCCTCGGCGTCAAACAACCATGAGATCAAACGTTCATCGCGCCGTTGGGAGTTGGTCTGTTCATCCGTATTGGGTTCATTTCAGGTGCATTACGATGACAGCAACGCCGGAGTCTGCTGTTTTTATACGATACACGAGCCAGTACTTTTTTCTTCCCAGGTGAGTCTGGTAACGATCAACCGACCCCAGAGGATGGAAAGCTTGGTTGACCAGGGCGAGTAGGGATTCGATCTTCAGTCCATGTGTTATGGTGCGTAATTTGCCATCGTATATGGTCGCGAGTTCAAACCCGGGTCGATATCCGCCTGAGCCAACCAAGTCCATACCTCCGGGGGGTTGATTAATTACCGGAGACGTTTGAGTGGATAAAAGCTCTGACTGATGCATCGGCTGGCCACCTCTTGTCATTGTATGTTTCACATACACATCCAATATGCCTCTGCGACTTCAAAAAGAAGTGGGATGCCATGGCGCATCCCTCAGACGGGATTGATTAATGCCAAAGCAGTTCTAGACTTTATGCATTCGCTTGTTATTACCCACCTTGGCATTCAGCTTTTTAGAAAATTTACGATTACCAGACACCGAATTATCAAACATTGTAGCCACTGGAAAGAGCCGAAGCAAAGTTCATAAATTTTTTTGCTAACAAATAACCCACTGCACAGGACACCGTTTCATTTCGGGCAGCCTCAGCCTACGCCCGAAAGCTCTCGGTCCGGAAGATGTGCAGAAATGCAGTGCAGCTTCACGAATGATGGGCTGCTGTCATCTCTCGCGAAATCAATCCTATGTTGTGAATTTCTCTTACATTATTTCCGATAACCGATGCAACGGTGCTCTGTAAAGCTCGTGCACGTTCCTGAAAACTTGTAGATCCTATTATGGAACTGAAATTCAATTTTATAGCCTCGAAATCATCACAATTACCCCATTTACTAAACCTGAGTAAGCTATATGGCACCAGCCATGAAGCAAGGGCCATGACTCTGTCTCGCAGAATCCCAATTAGAGGGTTTATCAGTTTACCCTGTGCACTGTACTGAAATGGAATGGAAACGAAGACTTTTTGGGTACATGAAGACCCCTTTGTCGGCAAAGCGAAATCTTGTCGCAAACACGAGACATCAGATACGAAGCCTTCTGAAATGTCTCGACTCCCTAATATCTAGGATTCATCTAGGACTGCTCTTCGTCCATCGCGAGGTCGATCTCGGCAAGTAGGGCTAAGATAGCATAATATGGGATCGAGATTTTGAAAGTTTTAATTGTTGGCCAAAGTAAAATTACTGCTGACTGTCATAATGGAATGGCGTTTCATTTATCGGTGCTGGATACCTGACAGCGAAGGGGTCAGTAACTGCCCAACTTACTGCTTTTGTCCTCTTAAAATTAGAAGATTTTGCTACTGAGCACTTAGAATTCCATGAAGGAGAAGGCTCGAGAAGTCGAATTGGTATCTACCAAGAAGTATTTTGAACCACAGGTGCATCAAACTGTTTAAACTTGGTGTGCTTTTTCACTCAGCTTTCTATAATAGAAGGCAGCTATCATGTAAACTAAAAGAGCAAAAGTGAAATGTGAGATTTGGAAGGGGTGAGCAGGTGAAATGTTTTTTGTATTTCAAACAGAAAAAAAAAACAAATTTCAAGATAGACAAGATAGACACGTGATTTCTGAAATGCCGTTTGATTGGGTTGAACCTCGAGTATGTTCAACCTCTAAGCTCTAACAGAAAGGACAAGGCTTGAACCACAGCCGATTGAAGTTGAGCTATGCGGAGGAAAGTCATGAGGAGTGAAATTAGTGGAGCTTGTGAAACAATAAACAAACACGGCAAAAAGACAAAGTAATTAAAACAGACAAAAATATAGATGGCTAGTTTTGTATCTTCACAAACGAACCACCGTTTCCACTTTCCTCTAAGGCTCTCAGGTATTTTGGGTTTATTGTTAGTGGACAAAGGGAACGGGTACAATTATTCATGGATCGGTAAGTTATCTCATTCATATATACTTGAGCATGAAAAACATGATTAGCACAAAAGGAAAGTAGTGATAGACGTAGAGAAATAGGGTGAAAATAAGGATTCATAGACTTAGAAGTGATGTACAAAATAAGGAATATTTCTTTGGCAATTGGCTCCCCCATCAGCTGACAGCTATAATTCATTGTACAGGCCAAATGCCGCATTCAATTCACCATTACGATTCTGAATGTAAGTCCAAGCGGGGCGTATCCCCAAAACGGGATCGATTTATAGATTCTTCTTTTCTCAACAGTATTTCTATGCTTTCAGTCATTTTGGGTTAAATGCTTCCAAGTGTTGGCAATGCTTTATGCTTCTTTGGAACTTTGTTAATATCAGGGCCTCAAGAGGAAATTGAATGAGGCCGCAGATAAAATCATCAGTTTCATTTCTATGCTATCAAAGCAGTTATCAAAGCAAAAGATGCCAAACATTTTCAACAAACCCGGACGTCACCTGGCCAATTTGCAAATCAGCTACATGTCGGGGCCACTAGGAACGCTTGCACCCATAACGACACGCACTGCTATCACTGACGACCGATCAGCCGAAAGAAGTCGTTCACCGCCGACAGCCCTCATGAGCGTCACCTGAGCGCTTTTCAACCATTTACTACAGTATATCTGAATAAATACATCTCTACCTCAGTTCTTTTACTCAATTGATGTGGTTCAAGCCGTTATACAACCGTCAATGAATCTCTTGAATTTTTCGTCGATTGTTCTCATAAAGTTAGTATTGCCCAAATAATTCGAAGAATTTTTGAGATTTACCTCACAGCAGTCCATCATGGCTGTAAATAGAACTCTTATGAATGTTCTGTTTTGAATGTTCTCTTATGTAGTCTTAAACCTAGTCCGTTAGAATGAATTTGAATTTTTTGGAATAGCTCTCATTTGATGCCACCAGGAGAGAACTCAACATGAGTTTCATCATCAATAAAATAGATAGACTATATTTACAACTTTGTTGTAATAATGGGGGATGAAATCTGTGGCAATAGCCAATCCCGTTTTCGGTATGCACCCCGCATTCGACCTTCACTCAAATCTAGGAGCTTTTGAATACGATTCAAATCTAGGTACAAGAACATGTAGTGTGTAGACTACTCTGGAGACAAATTCCAAGTCCTCTCAT